ACATCATACTGAATGAACAAAAACTGAGTTTTTACTCTAAAGAGGAACAAGACAAGGATGTCCACTATCACCACTCTTATTCAATATAGCTCTGGAAACATTAGCCAGAGCAATTAGACAAGAGAAAGAAATAAAAGGAATAAGGACAGGAAAGGAAGAAGGTAAATTATCATTATTTGCAGATGACATGTTACTCGACATAGAGAGCCCAAAACTTGACCAAAAGATTTCTAGATTTAATAACCAAATTCAGTAGCATAGCTGGATACAAAGTCAACATTCAAAAATTAGTAGCATTCCTGTACACAAATAACAGACTCACTGAGAAAGAAACTAGGGAAACAACATCCTTCACAATTGCATCCAAAAAAATGAAATACTTAGCAATCAAGCTAGTAAAGGAAGTAAAAGAACTTTACATTGAAAATTACAGTACTCTGAAAAAGACAAAGAGAATATCAGAAAATGTAAAGATATCCCTTGTTCTTGCTTAGGGAGAACCAATATAGTGAAAATGGCCATACTTACAAAATTGTTACACAGATTCAATGCAATCCTGAAAAAATACCAATACACAGAATTAGAGAAAGCAATCGGAAAATTTATTTGGACCCAGAAGAGACCTAGAATAGCAAAAGGCAATTCTGGTCAACAAAGGCAAGGCAGGGGGGATCACAATCCCTGAGTTAAAACTGCACTACAAAGCTACTGTGATTTTTTAAAAAGCATAGTACTGGCAACAAAATTGTGGAACCAATTAGAAGATGCAGAAAAAATTCCACACACAAAAAACTTTTTCCTCCTCTGTGGGTTGTCTCTTCACTCTGTTGGTGGTTTCCTTTGCTGTGCAAAGGCTTCTTACTTTTATTTATTCATGTTTTGGTACCGAGAATCTACACCAATGTCTTCAAGAATTCCACTTATCCTATCTTTCAGTATATTTAATGTTTCGGTTTTTAATACTTAGGTCTTTGATTTATTTTGATTTGAGTTTAGTGCATGGTGAAAGATATTACAGTACTCTGAAAAAGATCTGGGTCCAATTTTAATCTTTTTTTTTTTGTCTTTTTGAGACAGGGTCTCGCTATGCAGTTCAGGCTGGCCTTGAGCTCACTTTGTAGCCCAGGCTGGTCTCGCACTTGCAACGATCCTCCTGCCTCAGCCTCCCGAGTGCTGGGATTACAGGCATGCGCCACCACGCCCGGCTAATTTTAATCTTTTAATCATGTGGAAAACTGGTTCTTCTAGCACCACTTGTTGAAGAGGCTATCTTTTTTCCAATGAATGTGTTTGGCTCCTTTGTCAAAGATAAAGTGGCTGAATATTGAATATTGATGTATTACTATAAAAAAAAGAAGCAAGATGTATCATATAAGGTACAAATTCCCTATGATGAATATTATCATTTTGCATATCTAAAAACAGCAAATAAAAATAAATTAAAATGAGGGAAGCAGATACATACCAATTGAGGAGAATGGTGTCTGACAAAAGTACTCCTCAAAATAGCCAAGTGTGTGAAAAACAAAGACATTCTGAGAAAATGTCATAGTCAAAAGTTGCTTAAGGACATCTGATACACATATGTTATGTAGTATCTTACATGGAATCCTAGAATGTGAACAAGAAATTAGGTAAAAACTAAGGAAATATGAATAAAACTATAAAGTTCAGTTTATAGTAATACATCAATATTGATTTGTCTTGCAACAAATGCGCCATACTAAATTAAATGCTACTAGAAGAGGAAACTGGATGCATAGGATATGTGAACTCTGTGCTTCCCAATTTTTCAGTAAATCTAAAAGTATGCTAAAGCTTATTTTTAAAATATTAGCAGAAATTGTGAATATGGCATAGTAAATGCTGTGGAGGGATAAAGAAATATTAAATGGCACTATGGAAGAAAAATAGCAAGAGAAAAAAAGAATTCCAAAGTGATCTGTAAAGATTTTGATTCAAAAGAAAACCAAACGTTCTTGCATTTGGGTATCATACCTTTAGATTTACCCATCTATGTAATGAATATACTTTGACTATTTTAGCATATAATACATTGCCTGCCATAATTACTGATGCTCATATCAAAATCTTTTGATTTTTAGGAAAAGAAGCCACATGCTATTAAAAGGAAAGTTTAACCGTCAGGGTTGGTGAAACAGAAAACATTCAGCATTTAGTCTAGAAAAATAAATAACCCATTGAACATCAATCACATAACTAAAAAACTATTTTAATGACCCAGATACACTAAATACCTGGAGTTAACAAATATTTATGCCTTACGTTTTTTTCTAGAATTCGCTACTCCTTAATTTCTTTTTTTTTTTGTACCAGGAATCGAACTCAGGACCTTGCACTTACCAAGCAGGCACTTGTGCCACTGAGCTATATTCCCTGCCCCTAAAATTCTTCTTCTAAAGTCACAATTTTGGCCATTTTTTAAACTCCACCTCAAATATCTGTTCCATGCTCCACAATCTCAGTGTCTTCTCTGGGTGGCTTACTTGTGTGTCTCTCTATTGTCTCTAGAACTTAAAACAACTTATAACCATTCTTCGTTCTTTTTTTTTCTCCGGTACCGGGAATCGAACTCACGACCTTGCGCTTGCCAGGCAGGCGCTTTTGCCGCTGAGCTAAATCCCCAGCCTCTTATAACCATTCTTTACCGATTTGCTTCCCACTTGGTTATAAACTTCATAACAGCAAGGTTTATCATGGCCCTGACTGCTCTCAGCGCGGTGTCTGACATTCATTCATTTATTCATTCATTAACAACTATTTATAGCATTTAGAACTATGGAATAAACCGGACAGAAAAACATAGTCATTTAGAACTATGGAGTAAACTGGACAGAAAAACATACAGAGAAAAATTAACAACTGAATTTTGAGGCAGCGGGAAATTTTTCCAAACAGGAAAGGTCTATATTGACCAGGTTTACAGAAAGCATTAGCAGAAGGCTAACACCACAGAACTGATGTATTTTCATAGCCAATTACATTCCGGAGTAAGGATTGCCTTCTCTCTAACAGTTTTAACCATTTTATGTGATGTGAACCTCCTCTGGTTATTGAGTACAAAGGGTTAGTGAAATGTGTCTAATCAATGTTTATTTATTTTCAAAATAAATAAGTGAGTAGTAAATATTTAGGGGAAAGAAGGAAAAAGAAGAAAGCTGTTTTTTCACGGCAAAGGCCTGAAGTCCAACTGTCTAACTGCATGAGTTTTTAGAAAAGAACTTGTTCCCTTTGGAACCTTTCTATTGAAGTAAATATACTCCTGTCTTAATGGATACATTATATCTAGATGTAGTTCAAATACCATTTTGTCTCTATGTTCTTGTGGAATACCTGGTTTCCTGTTTCATTAGCATAAATTAATTTAAATTTCATTTTCCAGACAACCAGTGCCAAAACTTTAATTACTATTGTATTCTTCAAGCCTTCCATCAGTGTAACAAAATAACTGCGATGACCAAGTTCAATACACAGTCTTAGGTGGGGACTGTTTTTTTTTTTTTTCACCTTTATTAGGGTCTTCATCAACTTGAAAGAAATTCTAGTCCACTTCCACTTTTAAGAGATTTAAGAGGGCATAATATGTCTGTTCATTTTCAAAACATTTCATTTAAAGCATCAAATTAATAAATTCTTAGGAGCAGTCAACATGATTCCACAAATCTGAAAAGTCTCCAGTGTGGTACGGCCTAGAGCAGTAACAGCCCCGCTGCATTCAAATCCTGGCTCTGACACAGAGATGAGCAGCTTTGAGGAGTGTTTTCTGGATCCCTGGATGTTCTTCATCATTCATCTATCCGGAAACTATTTACTTATTTATTTATTTAGTACGTATTTATCTATACTGTGCCAAAATCATAGTAAACAAAGCAGACTGACTTTGTAGAGAGAGAAATAATAATACCTTGTCTAGTAGGGCTGTAAAAGTTAAATGGAATCAAGCGTGTAACACATAAAAGTCAGTTAATGACGGCTGTTGTTCAGCATCCACCACACTGCCTAGCACATATTATCTCAGTCCATATTTACTTTCCCTCATTCATTATTGACTATTTTTATGCGGTTCCTCACAAGCTCTGCTGTACATCACTGACTCATTTTCTTATCCCTGTGAAATGAGCTCATTAAGTCTCCTTGCTGAAGATTTTCAAGATGAGATGAACTTTCCAAACCAGACCGGGCGAGTTCCTAGGAAGCCATGTCTCTGGCCGGAGTTACTCTGAAAGCTGTCTTTGTGGCTCCCGCACAAGCAGAGGAGCTGCGTCCACAATTCACGGCACACTTTTCACTGCCCAGAAAATGCCCAAGTGTCCTCCCTCCGTGGTGTATTCTTCCCAGGTTATCACTTTGAGGTGTCCAGTCAGACGAAGATGATGTGAAATCTCCCTTTTTTATTAGTGAGAAGTTTTTTTCTTCTTCCATGACAGTTGCTTGAAGATTCTTAAGCTGTTAATCAAAATAAGAGGAAAATGGATCAAATACAACCTATTTAAAACATCTCCATTTAAATCTGCCTTCTCCACAAAATGGATCCTCCCCAAAAGACACTGCTGGGAGCTCACAGTCTAAACACTGAGTGGTTTCTAAAGGTATTTACTTGGAGCATAGAGTGTAACTCTGGGAAGAAACTAATGTTTAGTGCTCTGGGTGTTTGTTTCTAGACACCGTGAGAAGTTGTGTAGCGAAGTTCTTCTTCACGTGCTCCCTGAAGGGCCATTACTGCCTGTACAGTAAGTCCAGCTTCATTCTCGTCAGCCAAGAGCCCCAGCCGTGGATCCAGATCATGTTTCTCTTCCAGCAGGTGTGTATAATCTGTGTTCCCAGCCTCCTCAATGAACTGGTGGGGAATGATGTCGTAATCATTTTTGTCAAATAAACTCTTCAGGTGAGATAATATGTAGATTATAGCAACATGTATAAATTTTACTAATAATTTTTAGTATGAATTATCTATGTTTTAAGATAGTTTCCTTAGAAAGATGGCAGGCCAAAGCAATTATTATCTTAAATATACTTAGCTTTAAAAAAGAAAAATGCAAGAGAAAATATTTTAAATAACAACAAAAAACATTGTTTGGGAGAACGACTTGCCTTTTAAAAAGGTAGGTTTCATTTCTCTAGAATTTTATTTCTCTGTAGTAAGTTTTCTAAAATTACTCTCCAGTTAATTTCACTGTAGGTATATGCTTTTTGACATTGTAAAGACACTGAGATGCCACTTTTTCTATTAAATATATGTGTATAATGAAAGTAAATAAAGAAGAATCTTTAATTTAGCAATGAAAGGATTTCATCTTAACCTAGATGTTAAACTTGCACATAAAATGTAAATGTAGATTATGAAAGTTAAAAATAGAAGAGATCTTAGACATAATTTTTATAGATAAGAAAACTCAAGGGTAGAACTGAGATCATCAGATCTCTGATACAGTGATATTTGAATTGTTGTGTGTATTTTGAAATATAAAAGAGGGGGAAAAGGTAGAAAAGAGGACATGGTCAGAAAAAAAACAGAATGCAAATGTTTTAATATGGTTGAAAACTAAGCCAAGTGATAAAGCAATTTTTTCAATTTTTAAAATTTTTTATTAGTACATGTTTATAATACATGCATATCACAATCATCTTGGAGGTAATTTATTTACTTCTGTTGATGAAATATTTCTGTAATTTCCACTACAAAATTTATCAACTAGATGATCATATTCTTTATAAAGTCAGTCTTATGAGGAAAAAAATGAATCTTAATGCCGAACGAATGAATCTTAAAGCCGAATGAATCTTAATGCAGAGTAGAATCTAGTACTTAAGAAAAAAGACAGTTTGGACATTGCTTAGGGCTACCAATTTTTTGTATGGTAAGTTTTAAGAATACTTAACATCTTATAAAAAAAACCCTCATTTTGGTGTGAACATTGATTTTTCCTTTTTTTCTTGAAATATGAATTTAGTTTTCTTTTACTTTACCATTATTTTTCAAATAGTTTTCATCCATGATTTTGTATTGTGTTTTATCTTTGGCTTTGCTCTTAATAGCTGTCAGTTTTCTGGGAAAAAAAAAAAAAAAAAAAACACTGACAAAGCTTGATTTATTTTCCCCCTGGTCAGGCTTATTTTATTGACTTAGTCTGATCTTCTTCTTCTTTAAGCAAAACCACCAAAAGCTTCTGTTTATGGTATGTTTCTTCTATGTCCATTTTACTAGAACAGTTTCTTTCTTTTTCTACACCTTTGATGCAATATAATCATCTGGGTGAATTCTGGCTTTACAGTAAACAAAAATCAAACATTCACTTGATAGTTACAAATGTAGCACATACACTCAAATTCACAGATTCTGGTCTAAACGTTCCTCTTTGGATTGGTAATTCATCAACTCAGGCCCTTCTCCTCTTTAAATGAAAAATTATGTGGTATATAACTTTCTTTTTTTTAACTGTCTGATAATTATTTAAAAATTCTCAAATGTGTTCACAATATGAGTTGCATAATCAAACTGTTACTGGCTTATAAAATTTTGAAATCTGTCAACCACCTACTTGGGGTTGGAGTACTTCAAGATATTTCACCTTTCCCCACTTAGTACTAGAAACAGCTCATTTAGTGGTAGTAATGAGCTATTCCTAGAAAAAATATATATTAATTTTGATGTGCTAAATAGAGGTTTTGCACACACAGACCATGTAGAGAGTCTCATACTTCAGTATTTGGATAGTCATTCATATAGAAAATATGATTTTATAAGTCAACTATTATTGTATACTCTGTCATACATAAAGAATAATATTTATTATATTCTATGTAAATAAATACCTTATATCCTTTACTGATAGTCTATATATTTTTACAAAATTGTCCATTTGAATTAAAACAATTCTCAAATTTATAGGTATAAAATCAGAGCATATAAATGATTAAAAACATCGTCATTTAGTAAATTATATCAATTAGTAAATATATAAGCATAATTTAACTTTTCCTTTGAAAATTTGATATTTGTTGGCTTTAGTCAAATATGTGTGAATATAATTTTCTTTACATTAATTACCCCTTTGCCCAACAATTAAGAAAATATCTTAAAACTTTAAGAATATTCACCCATTATATATTTTAAGATTGAAAATATTTTTGTTTTTCTCACATATTCACTTATATTGTTGACATGTGCACATTTACATAATGAAATATTAGTTATTAGATTTATATTCTTCATAATCTATTTTGTATAAAGATTTGAAGTTTGTACTCTAGATTTAATTTTATACATTAATTCTAAGATCTTTGATAAAATAAATATAAATATTATATGAATTACTTCCCAGTTAAGCAACACTCTTTGGAAATTATCAAGGAAACATTGGATCAAAAAGTTTAGTTATATTTATAGAGATCAAGATGAACTGCTATATTAGTCCCTTTCCCAACCCTGGGACAAATTTTCAACATCCCCAGTTAAAGGTGGTGATGTTCATTTTGGCTTACAGTTTTCAAATAAGTCAGTCCATGGTTAATTGGCTCCAAGGCAAAATAACACGGTGGAAGGGTAAGGCACAGTACAGTTGCTCCCCTCATGGAAGCCAGCAAAGCTGGCTGTTCAAAGCAGAGTCAGGGAGGATCTGGGGACAAGAACACACACTTTCTGATCATGTATCCAGGGCCCAACCCTTCCAATGAGGCCCTATCTCCAAAAACATGAGACTTTGGGGGTCATTTTAGATCTAAGCCATAAAGACTGCCCTGAAATTTTTGCTAAATATTTTAAATTTTCTGATAAAAAACAAAAAGCCTGAAATATGCATTTATTCTTCAAGATAGATCTCTGTTGTTTCATTTAAATATGGATCATGTTAAAGTTCAAATCAAACCTCTTTAGTGCCTTGGAACCCAACATATGAAACTGTTAGGCCAAGACATAATGTTGTGTCTCTCTTTCTACTACCCATTCAGAGCCTGTTTCCTGAACCCCTGTCTATACAGAGTCATTCTGTGCAGTTCCTGAGGGCCCTGTGGGAGAAGGCTCAAACAGGGGGTGCCCACAGCTTTGAAACCGCCATGACAGAGTCCACATTTCCTCAACAGAAGGTAAACACTTCTCTTCTTGGGCATGTTATTTTAAACTAAGATTCAAGATTGCCTTGGAGCAGTTTGCCTTTTTATTAAGAGTTCAATCCTCCCTTCCTTCCCTTAAAATCAGAAAATGCTTATTAACTACTTTCATATTGTACCATAATGGACTCAAAACAAAGAGATATTAGTAGGAAATCTCACTGCCCTTTGAGGCCTTAGGTTGGACTCCAAACCTCCAGAACTCTGAGAAATTAATTTTTATTATTTATAAATTACCCAGTCTCAGCTATTTTCTTATAGCAACACAAACAGACTAAGACAAAAGGGCTGACTGGAAGTTGGAAGTTTTAGGAAGAGGATGAATTAAAGGAACATTAAGGGAGTCAAATCAGCAAGACTTGGTGCCTAATAAGAAAGACAGAAGAATGAAGGAAGACTCTAAGTGTATTGTTTGGCCAAATGGATGACGACACTAACCTGAAAAACAGACTACAAAAAAGACTGAAGTGGGTGTGGAGAAGACAGAGCATTCTGGTCATGTTGGCAGCTTCTTAGCACTTGCCAAAAAAGTAAACAGCTTATAAAACAGAAAGACTATTTTGGCTTACGATTTCTGAGACTTCATTGCATGGTCACCGGGCCCTATCGCTTTGGACTTATGGTGAGGCTTTACGTCATGGCAGGAACACATGGAGGAGGAAACTGCTCACCTCCTACAGCTGAGAGGCAAGGCAGGGAGGAAGGGGCTGGTGTCCTGACATCCCACTCAAGGGCACACACTGCTGACTTAACTTCCTTCTGCTAGGCGTCACCTCCTAACAGTTCCACCACCGCCCAATAGCACCACAGGCTGGTGACCAACCCTTTAATACGTGGGCCTTTAGGGGACCTTTCATATCCAAAACACAGCACTGGTTTACGTACTTCAGTGGTTGGAATTCTAGTACAGACCTTAGAAAGAAAGACAGGACTGGCAGGGTAAAAGTCAGAGAGTAGTACCTGATGTCGCGGCAGCAGACTGGGCCACTCAAAGGGAATATGTTTATGGAGAGCAGAGAATGGTTGTATTACCAACTTCTCTCTGTAAGCCCTTTCCAGATTCAAAGATTCACATTACTTGTATTCTGCTTTCAAGAAAGCTCAATAATAAGTACTGGATGACTATCGGACAAACTAGAGGTGCTCAGATTACAGGATCATGGTCTGTGTCCTACTTTTACTTTTTGTTGTTGTTGTTGACACAAAAATGTATATTGATGGAGATCATGTGATGTTTCAATGTATGTGTAATATTTGAGTTAGAATGGTAAGCAAATCTGTGTCCTCAAACACATGTATCATTTCTTTTTATTTGTGATGAAAACATTCAAAATCTTTCTTTCTAGCTTTTTTGAACTATATAAGACATCATTATCACTATCTGTAATTTCCCTACTATGCAATAGAAAACAAAAACCTAGCACTTTTAAAAGTCCCAGCACTTTTAAAATCTCTTTTATCTGATTATAATGCAGTATCATTTAACCAATGTCTCTGCCACTCCCTCCCCCTTGTCTTATTATCAAGAAGGAAAACCTGCCAATGTTAAATATATGCAAGGTACAAGCAAGTATCAAGCTCACTAATAAAAAACTTGTAATGCGAAACAGATTTAATCTCTCTTGGGTGGTAAAGAAGTATAACAGGATGAGAAATGGGTGTGATTAATCAGAAGTATATTTGTAAGGGCCAGTAAGACACTAAAGATCTATCCAGCTATTGCCTCACTATTTTGGTTTTGGCTTAAGAATCCAACAGGCAGTATTAAAAGCAAAGGAAATGCCACAATTGCACCAGTGTAAAGTAAAGTGGAATTCTTTGCATATTTCATTCAAACTTTTATTGTTGCATCAGGTTTAAAGACAATGTGTCAAACTCTCATAAAGTTTTCATTGTGAACTGTACTTTTTGTAGAAGTAACCTGTGAAGTAACACTTGGCAGATTGTCTCAAGTCCTAAGAGATTAAATTTTAAAAAAAAACTTGGCAACCAGCTTTGTACTTGCTTACAAGTAGACTTTTTCATTTTTCTTCTATTTCATACCAATAACTATTCCTCTAGGGAAAAAATTAACTGTAATCAGCATTTTTCTGAAATATTTAAAGTTTCAAAATTTGGTTTATTTGTGAGTAATAGAAAAAAATTTGTATCTGGAATGCACATTATGTGTCAAATTTATCAGCCCAGGAATTTCTCAATCGACTTGACCTTATCCTATCTTTTATGAAGTGTTGTGCTCATTAAATTCAAAATAGCTATAAAAATTGTACAGTTTGCTTTATTTTCACTATATAGGTATAGAAGTATACAAATCAATGTACATATTTATACACATTGATATGTGTATATATGTATGCACATATATACAGATGCACTAGTGATTTTGAAGTGATGGACAGTTGTGTATCTGCTGCTATATAGAGTTTTACCTCAGCCAAGCACAAGCCGGTGCTCAAAGACAAGGGAAGACACTCATGAAAAAAAGCTTAAATATCTACAATGGAACGTTTTGATGGGTTTGTTATTATATCGCTTCTTAATAGAACCTTAGAATATTAGAAATGAAATTTATTATAAAACTATTAAATTGCAAACATCCTGAGGCAGGAAAGACAAGGTTTAATATCCCGAAGATAAGTTCATGCAAACCAATAACATGGGCTCAAAGGAGACTCAGACTTAAAAATGTATTCATTTTCAGCCAAGGTACTCAAAGCTAAAATAATAAGTTACCCTTTTTTAATCTATTTCAATTTAGTTTTTATTATTAGAAGAGGATAACAAATAAACAAAAAACAATAAAAATGACACAGAATTTCAAAACAAGATGATAGGAAATTAACAATGGCTGTTATATTGCATATTGTTATCTTCAAAGTAGTTGCTCAGATTACCAGATATAGGTATGCAAAATTGATCCAACAATTAAGCATTAACTGTTCCTTTCAATAAACCAATAGAAATTATCTTAGCTATCTTGTGTGTATATATGTATATATATATATATTGTTTTTTCCCTTTCTTCTTGCTTTCTTTTCTCCTTCAGATTTAATTCATTTTTTAAAATACAATAAACAGTGCTGGGTAAAGCAAGAGAGTTAAACACACACTTCATTGGGAGTGTAATTTATTTTAGCATTTCTGAAAAGCAATTTAGCAATGCAATTCAAGAGTCCTAAGAATGTTCCTATCCTTTCTTTAATATGTTTATACTATTTCTATGACTGTCCTAAAGAAATAATCTGACATGTATATACAAGATACGCACATATGAAAAGAACTGTGTAATGATTTGTAAATACCTTAAATGTCTAAATATGGGAGAATAAAATATACATTCATACAAAAGAATATTAAGAAACTATAAAAATCACATTTATTGGATGTTTAATAACATGAAACATGATGATAGCAAGGATACAAAATTATGTATACAAAGAATGTTATCTGGAGAACTGTCCATTGAAACAACCAAGTAGAAATGGGCAAAAATATTGACAATGGTTAGCTCTGGTAGGTGACATTAGCACTTTTAAAATTTTCCTTTGGTGTGTATTTCTTTTATAGTCAAGAAAAAAAAATTACTTTATACCTTTTTATTACCAAACACTAATGAGTTTACTTAAAGAAAATTCAATCCTAAGATAACCAGTTTCCATGAAAAAATAAAGATTTTAGAAAGAGGAGGAAAGCTGGCTGATTTATTGGAGAAATGAGGAGGAAGTCGATGGGGCATCTAGAGTGCACTGTTCGTAATTCCCTGCCCGCACTTGTGCGGCCCCGTCCTTCAAAGACAGTGGAGCTTTATCAGAGGGCCTGCCAGTGGCGGGGTTGCTAACAGGCAAGAATTCAGGGGAGAAAGTGCTTTTATTGACACACATGTTCCGGTTCCCAAAGCATGGGAAATTCCATATGTCATGTAAGTGAGATCTCCAAACTATGCCCGGTACAGAAACAACAACAACAAAATTAAATTAATTTTACTGTTGAAATAAATTGTGCCCCATCTGGCTACCATTTGGAGATTTGCTTTCTGTCCACATGGCTACAAGCACACTGGACAGTTCCCAGGGTAACTGGCTGGAGTGTTGGAGCATAAACAAAACTGAAGCAGCAGCTCTGGTGAAACAAAAGGAGACCTGATGCTCCCAAAGGTTTCAAAGTAGTGATGTGAGTTAAGATGCTAATGTGCTTGAATAAAGAAACGCACAAAAAGTAAATAAAGACTGTGCTTATTCTATGTGGAATGTAATGACTCGAGGCTAGTAGAAATTTAAGTCTGCTGAGTGAGGCAAAGGACAAGTGTGGGGCCAGTTCCTCCTCCAGGGAGCAGTGTGAATCAGTGTCTGGCTAAGGTGTGAACAAGAGTCGATCCAAACAATCCAGGCTTGGGGTTAATCCAGGGACTAAGGAATAAACTAAACGAGGGCTATAAATCAGGATAGGAACCAGAGGCAAGGGGTTTTAGAGGATGCATGGAAGGTGGAATGTGTATGCCACAGGAAGGGACATAGTTGGAAAGATGTTTGACATTAAAATACAGAGTTAGAACTTTTAAAAGAAGGAGAAGGGAGAAGTAGATACATGTAGGAAGAGTGGCATAAGCAATAACGTGGAGAATACAAAGCAAAGTCACAATGAATCCATTTCAATTTATTTTTTATTATTAGAAGAGAATAACAAATAAACAGAAAACAATAAAAATGACAGAATTTCAAAACAAGATGATAGGAAATTAACAATGGCTGTCATTGCATATTGTTATCTTCAAAGTAGTTGTTCAGATTACCAAGGAAGTCCATGGTGAACATGCCTGTAAGTTCATCTATTCACTCAAAAATATTTTTGCTGAGCATCTGCACTGTGCCCACCCCTGTGCAAGGAACAACATGAGAATCATGGTCGCTGCCCCGATGGAAACAAGCGTCACACTGGCAAACAGCGACACCATTCCGCACTGCTACTGTTTTCTTAAAAATGCATGATAAAAATGAGCATTTGCTGAACGGTCAAGGAAGGCTTCTCTCTCAGCAAATGTCAAGTAAGTCTTCCTCACAAAAGGAACGATTTTCACAAAGATTCTGAAAACAATAACAATAAAGAAGCATAAGGAAAATAGAAAGCTTTGGTGTACTGGAGCATTCTCCTCCAAATCTAAATCACATATCCCATCAGAAAAAAACTTTTGAGCAAGGACCTTCAATATGTGTAAAATTATTTACTCATCAACTATGTACCTCATTATTTTACATACTTGACTTTACCTTATAAAACCTACTCAAAATAAAATCTCGATATCATCAACCAGCAGGGAAATGCACATCAAAACTACAGTGAGATATCTTCTTACCTCCGAAAGGCTATGAAACAACAACAAAAGTGCTGGTGAGGATATGGAGAAAATAAACAACCAACTACTTACAGAAATATAAATTAATACAGTCATTATAGAGAACATTTGGAGGTCCCTCAAAAAAAGTAAAATAGAGCAACCATACGATCCAGCTATTCCACCTCTGGCTATATATCCAAAGAAAACAAAATCAGTACACTTAAAAAATAGCTGCACACACTTGTTTATTACGGCCCTATTCAACAGTACTACTGCATGTTTGTGTTTATTGTGTCTTCTCTGGCAGTCTCAATGTTCTCAATCCATTCAAAGCATTTATAGCAATTTCTATCCAATAAAAATATTATGGTATGTCCTCATGCACTTTATTCACTGGAATTGGCATGATGCGACATCTGGGTGTTCTCCAAAGTCAAAATTACCACGAAAGGTAAATGTTTTCAATTGATTCAGGACATCAAGACAGCCATAATAATACAACTAAAGACACTTTCAAAAGAGGTCTTCCAGAGTGGCTTCAGAAAGTCCAAGAACAATGGGAACACATTTATGTGTTCAAAGCAAGGGGAGTATTTTGAAAGCCATTACCATTTTGAAGGGTATCTTTTATTTTAATCATTTTTTAAAAATTTAAGCATTCACCTTACTTTTTATTTTATCTGTCATTTACAGCACAATGAATGGAACTGGAGGACATTATGTTAAGTGAAAAAAACTAGACACAGAAAGACACCGTGTACTCTCCTTCCCATATAGAAGCTAAAAAATAAGTCAATCTAAATGTAGAATAATGATTACTAGAGACTAGGAAAGGGAAATAGAGAATAAAGGGAAATTGGATAACAGTTCCAAACTATAATTAGATAAAAGGAATAGGCTCTGGCATTCCACAGCACAGAAGGACAGTAGTTCACTAAACTTATTATTTTTTTTCAGAATATCTAAAATAGTAAAGAGAGGGAAATGTTAGTTACCCTGATACACTATATACATATTTTGAAATATCACACTGTACCTCACTAGAATGTATAATTAGATATATTAGCCAAAAATATATTTTTTTTAAAAATAAATAAATAAAAGTGTGAACTATACTATTTCCTTCTTCCCACATCACAGTGAATGCTCAGGCCTGCCCTGGAGTAGCACACTCCACTTCCACAGCACCAGAAGAAGTGAAAGGACCAGGTAGGAGGCAGTGGGTAAAGGGGAGTGTGATGACTGGAGAGTGAGTCTGAGAAAATCCCCCCCTGGCCTAGTAGACCAATGGCAAGGAGCTTGAATTTTTATTGCAGTCTCTGGAAAGCCACTGGAGAATTCTGAGCAAAAGACAATGCCCAGTGTCTGAGTCTGTTGGGGCTGCTGTAACAAAATATCATGAACTGGGTGGCTTATAAGCAACAGGATTTTATTTCTTATCATCCTGGAGGCAAGGAAGTCCAAGATCAAGGCAGATTCAGTGTCTGGTGAGGCTCCGCTTTGCGGCTCATAGACAGCACCTCCTCACTCTATGCTCACTTGGCAGAAGGGGCAAGGGAACTCTCTGGAGTCTCATTTTATAAAGTCCACTCATGAATTTTCTAATCCCAAAGCCTCACCTCCAAATACTGTCACCTTGAAGATTAAGATTTCAACATGTGAATTTGAGGAGGCGGGGAGGAATATAACCTTGACTCCCTCACACCCAGCTCATTGTGGAATGACCACTCGCACTGCTATGGGGAAAAGGGCTTCTGTGGTTAGAATAAGGATTGAGTCTCCCCAAAGGTCCATGTGCTGGAGGTGTGGTCCTTGGTGTGGCAACGTAAGAGGCATGAAAGCTCATTCGGCCATGGGAACCTTGCCATCTGAAGGAATCAATGCTAGTCTGGGGGACTGAGCTTGTCTCTGGACAGCAGACTTGAGATAAAACAGAGATCTGCTTTTCCCCAGCCGTGATCAGCTGTTCATGTTCTGAGATGGAGTTCATTCGGGCTCAAACATGGAATTCTTGGTGAAGCAGTAATCAAATAGCAAAATGTCTCAAGAGAGGAGGGTATTTGAGAAGATGGAGGTTAAAGATGCAGAACAAAATAAAAAGTTTAAATTCCCAATGAAAAACCAATATGGAAAGCAAAAACATGATCTTTACAGCCCAGAAAAAAAAATCATGATTATTTTCTGAGTGGAAAAAACGATGAATTCTCTTCACAAGAACCTGCTCTTCTCCTCCCAGACTGAACACATACTTTGCAATTCCCCTGGCAACCAATAGCATAAGCACATCCATCATGCAGCTGGCCAAGGTTAAGGAAGACAGGCAACAGTCAGATGAGGTTAACTGACGAAGGTGTATTTCCACCGTGCTCTGTGGGTAAGACTCACAATGCTGGGTGACACCAGGAAAGTTGCAGCTTAAGCACAAGAGGACTTATCACAACTTATGCAGTATCATAGACCCTGTGCTACAGCCACACAATAGTTCCTCTAGGATTAACCCAACTGACATAAGGGGAGAGATTAGAAAATAAGAAGTCCTTGAGAGGAATAACATTGACCTTAGAGGCTTCTACAAGCATGGGTTTTATTGGTGCCTTAGGCCCAGTGAGTTTGGAAGTCCAGCCAAATTCTGAACTTTGCCTCTCTAAACACTAACTCCAACTTTATTTGAGTTCATTTCTTTCCAGTCACAGCTATCCATCAAGGTCTGTTGTTTAAACAGTTCTACACACATAACCTATTATATGAAGCAATTGCACATTGAACCTGACTAATATAACTCACCTCTTAAAACCAGAGGGTTTTTTTTTTCATTGTTATACACTGGTCTGTTGTTTCATAGTTCTTGTTTCTTAATTCTTATATTCCCCTTGGAAATGTATTATCCTTACATTTTGGTAATAAGTATGTACTATTCATGTCTCCCTAACAACTGTCCATATATACTACATGTGCCTTTGGAAAAGTTTTTAATTGCCGTAGAAGTATTTTCTCGGGTTAGCTGAAATCCTGGTTTATCACATATATTGTGTTTCCTTCATGTTTCACAAGCCAGACTGTCCCATAATGAAGCATGTCCATTTTACTACTGTCGTGAACATTCCTTCACAGTCAGCCAGATGTTCTGCATCAGTCAAGGAAATTAAGAAAAACAGAAAAAATCTTCAGAAAATAGTTCACAAAATAACTCATTCCTGGGGGAACAGAGGTATGCAGTCCTTCTGACTGTTCTAGTTCAATAGTGGTTTAGGTTCTTTTCTTAAATAATCAATGCATGAGCAGTGCCTTCTCCCCTTGCTGCTATCATGGGTTTTGTGTGAAATCCTACAAACGCTGGACACTAAGCTGTTAGAACAAACAGCACCCCTGCTCATTCATCATCAAAGCGCAGCCATCAAAGCAGGAGCCGCCAGAAACTCTGGATCTGGGCTAGAATCTGCCTCTACCACCTACTTCCCCCTTTTTATCTAACTCTTCTGTGTCTCAGGTTCCTCACCTGAGAAATGCAAACTATCACAGTTCCCACTTCACAGGGATGGTATGAGACTTAAAAGACACAATGCATGCAAAACCCTTGGAAGAGTTCGACTTGCACACAGTAAGAACTCAGTAAACGGTACCCAGTATTACTTTATCTCGGTTCCTCTGCAAGTACCCTCCAAACAGAATGAGTGCCTCAGCCGTGTTCCCATAACCTTTTATTCATATGTCACTAAAGTAATCAGCATATGTGGAACTGTTTGATTTTAACGTCTCTGGTCCTCCCACAGTCAATCAGGGTCTTCCAATTCGTTTCCGGCCTCAGGCAGAGCAGCTACTCAGTAAATATTTTGTGACTCTATCTTTGTAGTCATGGCAAAAGTTTCGCATTATGAGAAAATTTTATTTTCACAAATAACCCAGCATTTCCCTGGGCCAGGTACATTAGAAAAAGAAACTGCTCAAACTGAATATAGATTCTCACATTAAAAGCTGGGTTTTATGAAGGTAATCAGACATTTCTTATATTCTCTTACATTGTGATAGATACACTCTGAAAATAACTTCAAAAGAGACTTCTAAAAAGGTATTGAACAGAAGTTGTTGCTAAAATATCAGCAGTCATCCAACTTTAACACTCACTTCAAAATGTAAATTCTAGTTTTTACCTAAAAATATCATAACAATTCATATAGCTCAACACTAAGGATATCAAGAAAGAGAACACTCAGTGGAATTATTTGCTTTTAATTTTAGAACCTGAACATTGCCCGTGAATTAGCAAACTTCTGGTTCTAAGAGCACGTTACCTTCTTCCTCTTAGGGGTTACAGGGGTACGGAGTACTTTCTATTTTATTTGAATTCAGAGCACAAATATTTCCTACAATATAATTATTTTCAGTACAGTTTGTGTATTTCTATACTATGTTCAATACAATTTTGGATTCTCAATGAAGGCTAATATGAAAGGAAGAGTATTTTTTTAAATCTCTCTGCTAAACGGTCGTCTGTGGAATCACCTGGTGCCCCGTCTCTGGCTCCAATGATTCCTTCTGCTAATAAACAGTCCTCCTTAGAGTGGACGTAAATTCCTCAAGCTGCTTTTCCTGTGAACTGTCACCAGAGCTGAGTGAAGCATTAGGTCACTGCCTTCTCTAGCTTTGATTTTCTAAGTTAGGACCTAAGATTCCTGAGGAGCTTGTTGGAAACGCCAGTCCCCGAGGCTTTCTGAAGATCTCACAAAGGGGAGGCTTGTGACACCGCATTTCTGACAAGTGATCCTGACAATTCTGGGGCTGAAGTTTCCACAGCCAACTTTTAGAAAATACCAGAATATAGGCAACGGCAATCAGAACCCAGCTCAGTTGCCTCGAGTCCCACCTCCACTACTAACATGCTCTGCAAGTCTGTTCAGCTCACTGTAGCGCCATTTCTTCATCCGGGGACTGGAAGCGACTCCACCTCCTTCACAGCGCTGTTAGGAAAGTGAGAAAAGATGCATTCACCAAACACCTAGGGAAGTGCCCGGCACTGAGCAAGTGCTCTGCGAAGCACAGCAATACAACTATTACTTCATAAAACTCCAAGGCTGTCGTTAATTCACCTGTTTAGTCGTCTCTTTTCTGGATTTAGGTAATTTTGTGGCTCAGCTTAGAGTTGTTTCCTTTTTTCGCCTCCTTAGTAAGACCTGAATGCTACGGTCTATGTGTAGGCAGAACCCAGGTCCCTCATTACCGTCCTGTGTGCGTGTCTAATCATTCCCCAGATGGGCATACCTCTCTGCACGCTTTCATTTTGGACCCTCATTAGACTGCTGCATCGGCCCACCTTGTTGTTTCCGTCCTTCCCCAACGTCCCTTTCTTCTGCACCTCCTTTCAGTCCTCACGTCTTTTTATGCCCATTTGTTTATTCAGAGCATTAAATCCTTCCTTTGATGTCTGTCATTATTCGCTCCTTCTACACAGCTCGTTACACCCTTCCATCTGCGAACTGCATTACGCTGTCCCGTTTTTATCTCATTATGTCCTCATCATGCACGTTACTCGCTAGCTCTTCTTCATGCATATTGTTGCATCCTCTCTCTTTGCTTCTTACCACAACCCGCCCTTTCCACCCTCTCCATTTAATGTTCCATTTCTGAATCACATTCTATCCCCCAGGGCCTTTATCGTCACACTTATCCATTTATGCATCTCATTGCGTCGTTACTCATGCACATTTCTGCTGCGTTTCTGCCGTACATCCCATGGCGGCAGCCATCAAGCGTGTGCATGTCATTACTTCCCTTTGAAATACTCGCGTCGCATTACATCCTTCTGTGTCTGCATCACATTACATCCAGCGCTCCCAGATTTGACAACAAAGTAACAGAAACAGACAGATAAGTATGTTGCTTGCTTTTAGCAAACTAAATATGTTTCTTAGGCACCTAGCATCAGTATTTCTTAAACAAATCATTCATTTCAGAAGAATTTACATACACTTATCTAGCTAACAGATAAAAAGCACTATGTTTGATAAGCCCAAAAGGGGCCTTCTGATCTTGCTTTTTTCAAGTCATCTTTATTTTCACTACTGTTTTTGTCTACCATTTACAAAGTAGGATAATTACCCATGAATTGATTCTTACAACAACTCCCTGCAATTTAGGAATTACAGTCATTTTGCAGCTTGAGGAGCACATTGAGACCCCCAAGAAACTAAGATATTTTCCCAAGAACTGCTAGTGATTTTTAGAGGCAAAGCTCAAACTCTAATTTGCTGGCTTCAGAACCTATGTGTATTATTAATACTGTTGCGCTTGGCATTTAAAAAATCTTATTTTCAAGTACCATCACTGTCATTTAACCCATTCTGTATATGTGCTTTCCTTAGGTAGAGCTTGATGTGAGCATGCTTTAGGTTTGTTCATTTATTGCTGACTCCACTGTAGGTATAACGAAAATTTTCTTGACATTCTGAATATTGGTAGTCTTTTGCTTTTGCTTTTGCTCTAATAAAAATATTTTGCTGGTTTTAACAAACTACAACTTAAAATAAATTGGATCTGTATGGAAATTAATGGTGAACTTAACAATGACAAAACTTGATATATAGCATCACCCAAGTTGCTACCTTTATTTTCTATTCTACTCATACTGTTCTACTAGCTTTTCCACAAATGTCTTTAAACTCTTTAATATGCTATCTGCCAACACTATCAAGTTACTTTTTTTGCGATTCTTGAGTGTAAAAATTTGACTTTTTAAACCAAATCAAATATATGCTATTGTATTCTATCATGTTGATTAGTTTGCAAATGAGTGTTCTTCAGAACATCTAAGATGAACCCAACATGAGCACTTTCTTCCAGCTACTTGGAGCCAAGACCATAGTCAGAGTTGCCACACAATGTCGAAGGAATTCAATTTGTCCAGTGCCCCCGGTCTCAAAGAATAGAAGAAACGCTGACCCTATTTAGTGATCTATAGTGATAATGAGAAGTTTGCCGTACTGGTTTCTTACATTCTTGTAGACCTAAAGTTCCCCAGCTAATTTGGAATAGAGAAATGAAAAACAATAGGACGTAGCATAGGTGTGACATCCATACTGAGGACTGAGACGTACTGAGTTCTTCCGTGTGCGTGTCGGCTCTGTGCTGTCTCCGCTTACAGTCTGCCTCCTACCTGCTATCTAGCTCCCTCCTTACACATTCACTCACCCAAGTTTCAAATTAGACCCAATGTTTTTCTCACCTCATCTCTTCTATCCCTATTGCACAATTTGGAATAGTACATCTGATTGTCAAGAATGAAAACTGTGCTCTTGTGACCAGACCATTTTGTATTTTGTAACATGAAACCAAGTATTGTGAGAAAGTAAAAGCATATGCACATGCAAACTGACAAATTCCTCAGACACCAGTTAATGGACAGCCATTCCTACATCAGTTTCCAAAGGTATATAAGGTTAACTTTCCAATCAGTGCACATCAGAATAACTTTAGAAGTTTGTTTAAAAATGCAGTTGCCCGGTGCTGACCATAAACTCCTGAGGTTAGGCTTACAGGGTGGGACCTGTATCTGATGTTCATGGCAAGTTTCCTGGGATTCCTGATGTCAGTACCAACACAGAATTAACAATCTGGAAAAGTTGAGAGTCTGAAGGATAATCCACATGCCATATTGATAGATTCAGACAAATATTTCCAATTATTAACATTTTACCCTAAAGACTTCTTAAATAAAGTGAAATGATATGAATTCCTGTAATACCCATGAGATGAAATTATAGATATACATACTTTTTTGCAGTACTGGGGATCAAACCCGGGGTCTCAGGGGCTGGAGGTTTAGCTCAGTGGCACAGCGCTTGCCTGGCAAGCACGAGGTCGTGAGTTTGATTCCCGGTACCAGAAAACAAACAAACAAAAAAAAAACAAAAAAAAACAAAAAAAACCTGGGGTCTCACACATGCAAAGAAGTGCTCTACCAAGCTACAAACCCCGCCTCCAAGTTACAGTCATAAATAAATCAATCTTTTGGATCTGAGTGTGTGCCTGCAGTTCCAGTTTCTTGAGAGGCTGAAGCAATAGGACAACTTAAGCCCAAGAGTTTGAGGCCAGCCTGAGCAATATAGCAAGACCCCATTTGGAAAGATGAGAATAAGAGTGAGGGAGAGAGAGAAAGAGGGAGAGGGAGAGGAAGAGAGGGAGGAGAGGGAGAGGGAGAGGGCGAGAGAGTCTAAAAAGTTTGATAATAGTTAAATAGAGATGAAAATAGGCAACTTAAATGCTACCACTGACATAAATTAGAGATAAGATACATGTCCCTGAATTACTGAACATCTATAGTAATTTGTTGAATGTCTACTATGGACAAAACACAATTCCAAAGCTATAAGACAATACAAAACTGGTCTTTAGAAGACTAGATGAGGATTTGATCCAGTTGAAGGCTGAACCATACAGGAAGAAGTCTAACAGCAATCACACCACACGTGAATGAAAGCACATTCCAATTTTCCCCTGTGCGGAATACTGTGGACCTACTTGGCTTCCTTGGAATGCAGAAATGCATCTCCTTCATCTCTTCGTCAAATGGTTTCTGACATCAGATGATAGAAATACCAATTGGTATGAACTGAATTCAATAATAATATTTTTCAGAAGTTCAAAGATATAAAAAGATTAAATTATAGCATGAATATTCTTTAAAGTTTCTTTTGCCATTTATTCATTCAAAAGCCAGTGTTCTTTTTTTCAAAGTACTAATACCTGTATAATGTAAGACAGTATAAAGATTCATTGCTAATAATGTTCTCTCAAAAAATTTATTTCACACCCTGGACTCTAAGTTAGTTAGAGTATTTGCACTAGGAATAATCATAAAGACAAAAAGTCTGCATTACTATGTGAAAAGATTGAGAATTTTAAAAATTTTTTGCTTACATTTCTTAAAGCATACCTGAAGCATGTGGCTAGATTTGAGCCTGTTAACTAGAGACTCCCAGAAGACATGAGGCAACCTACGTTTTCTTTCTGTGCACAGAAAGCTTTTGGAGAGAATTTCAATGTACCAGAACCCAAAGTTCTTCCAGATGTATGCTTTCACGGATTTCTGGAAAATTGCTTCACAGTGCCCTTTCACTGTGAAGACCATGTTACATGTTATGTAGACCATGGTACAAGATCCAGAGCAGCTCTATGCTTTTACAGAATCATTGTGTTGACTCAGACTGTCATTTGTCAGCAAAATAATGTTGTAAATATCCTCTCATCTTTCCATGTTGCTTGGTTTATTTTTCCCCTAAGAGTCTCTATAAAAGATTTTATACATTTTTTTCCAAATTCTTAGTCTCATTAGTGATTTTTTTTTACAGTTGGAGGAAAAACACATCTAACCAGCTGTTTTTAAAGACCATTTTCCCTCCAGTGACTTTTTACCTTTTTGAATGAAATAATTCTTGTCAGGAAAATCTTCTTAGTACATGCTTATTTTGACAATTATATAACTTTTTCAAGTCAATATAAATAATTTGAACCTCGGGTTTCAGTGAAGGCTGGTTTGAAAAGTGTTTGGAAGAATGTGACTCCTCTAAATAGAATCACCATTTACATTAAGAATTCGCTAAGAGACCACCTTATTGATAGAAATCGCTTATTTGCAGTTGCAGGACCACAGCACTTGATTTCTTACTGGCTATTAGTAGTCATCCATAGTTCTCTGAAGGTCACACTATGGCAACTTGTTTCTCCAAGGACAGCAGGAGAGCCATGGATCTATCTGCTAACAAGACAGCTTCTGTGTACATATGCAGTGTGTGTGTGTGTGTGTGTGTGTGTGTGTGTGTGTGTGTGTTTAATCATGAGATGGATAATCCATCACCTTTGACCTATTCTTGGTTAGAAGCAATTCATTCAAGGGGAAGGATTATACAAACAGATGAGCACCAAGAGTTGGGAGGCCACTGGACAGTCACTGGCCACAGCCTCACTAGAATTAAAACGCAATATAACTTAGAGTTTGCTATGAATTGTCTTTATCACTCTCATGAATTCCAGTTGCCTTTAAAGAAATCTGTAATTCTCCAAGTCAAATTTACTTCTCTTGTCTTTAAAAAAGAAAATGCAAGCTATATAGTAATTCTTGGGCAAGACCAAGAAGCTTCAGAACCCAGAAAGGTAAAGAAGATAAGTAGGAAAGATAAATAATGACCTTGTGCACATTTAAGAGATCAAAATCTTAAAAGTTTAGCAGTCCTAGTAGTCGTTTTGTGCTTGCTTGTTTTGTGATCTAATTTATCTTGATTTTCCACAAATATTTTCAGTTATATATTTCGTCTGTCTTCATTTGAAGCTGGCTGCTGTGGCTAACTTTGATAGTTCATAGGACTACCATCCACCTCCTTCTCTCAGCTCCTTTGCACAGTACCTAAATCCTCTAAAGAGCTAAGCCCATTTTTAGCTTCAGAGCTCAAACACTGGGATAGAACTCGCCATCTGTCTTAAACTATTTAAGTAACTTTTTGCCAAGACAAATGTGGATTATAGGTAATAACCTGGGACGTTTCTGGTCTCAGAACAGGAAAAACAAAGGAACCCTTAAGTATTATTTTAAGTACTTTATTTGCTACAGTGTTTGAGCTGGATGAAAAATTGATCCTTAATTGTGTGGGAAACAGAGAACTGATCTGCATGCCAATGGCCCGGTACAGACTTCAGAGACTTAGCAGTTTGGAAACTGATATTTATGAACATCTGCTTTTTCCCCATAAATTTTTAATATGGGTTTTATCCTTCGAAACCTACAAAACTCCCAGGTGCTTCTTCTTCAGGCTTTATCTTGGGGGAACATTCTTTTTGTAGAAAAAAAAAAAGTCTTTCTTTTCATTGAGCACTACTAAATCATTTTGTTAAAAATACATTCTTATGTATACAGTGCCTGTTGGAATGCTTGTGATAAGCTATTAAATGTTAGCAACCAAAATGCCGTATTCAGCATTTTGAGTCTCTAAAATGTCCTATTCCTGAACACACACTATAATAGTCTTAATAAAGAATGTTGAAAAGTATCCATTTCTAGTCTCAGTTTACACCTGTCATGATTCCACATACTCAGTGTTTTCTATGTGACAGGCACAGGTAGGTATGAGGTTCCAACAGCCAACATAAGAGACAAAATCCTTGTCTACTTTTTGTTTATGCTGCAGTAAATGTGACTATTCTCTAAAAAAAATTCCTCTAAATTTTCCACAAGACCCTTCCTATAGTTCATTGGAAACAGAGCTTTGCACTAGTCCTGAAAACTAATGATATTAATTATCATTAATATCCCATTAATTATCCCATTACTGATACTAGACTCGATGCTAGGGAAACAGCCATAAACAAAGTAGATGTATTGCTATTCTCAAGGAGTTTATCATCCAGCATACTTCTTATCTACTGCAGGAAATGTAGAAACAGAAATCCAGCTTTGGGATAGGATCTGGGGAACCACTTGACCATTCTCTAATTAGATCCATTACAAGCAGTGCAAACATTACCTGTATCACTTGATTCTTGGGAGTACTAATAATTATTATTGTAAGTAGAGAGGAGAAGAGTGTGGTGGTCAAAGGAAGGAAATAAACTCATCACTCAGCAGAGGACAAATGTGTGAGTTGACTAGGTACATGCAAGGCTAGCAAGAACATCATTAAGTCCTTCTTAGAAGGAGTAACGGCTTTAAAAGTACAGTCCTAGCCACCCTGTTAGGAAGGATTCCAGTTGCTTACATAATAGGCAAGCTTCAGGAGGAAAGTAGAGCTGTTTAATTTGGTTAGGCTAATAGTTTTCCATCCATTTACAGTCTAATGGAGCCTCTACCGCTTCAACAAGAGCGCCCTGGCAGGCTGCCACAGGGCATGTAAAAATGGGCAGTTTTCTTAGTGATCAAATTCTCTAAATCATTCAGAGGAAACAAAGTTAACTAATTTACAGATCAGTAACTTAAAACATTATTTTCCGTTAAAACCAACAAGCTACATTATGGAACAGAATGCAAAATTTGCATATATTTTTAAGATAAAGCATAAAACTGAAAGAGTGCTGGAGCCGAGGGCTGAGGGATTAAGGCCATCCTCATATTTTCCATCAGTCCCTGCAAAGCCAACCTAATGAAAATCATATATTTTGATATGAATAATTGGTTCTTTATGTACATTTTATATAAAATGTAAATAAAAGGAAAATCTTCCTGAAGCACTTCCTTCAACTATCACTTGGAAGTCCTTCCTTTTTATAAGTTCTGGAGCTGCTGCTATGTACAAGAAAATTCTAGGTCATTTCAGGTTCTAACACATCTCTAGACCCCAACACTCAGCCTGACTCGTGCTCCTTTGCTCTGTACTCCCATGGGGTAAGTTTGAGTTGACCCCTCTTTTCTAAGACCAGCCAAGAGAAATCTTTCAGTGTTTTCTCTTGGTTCTTAGCACTGAGACTGAGCACTGGTCATCCTGATTCCATGTCCCCCTTTTCTAGTCTTAGGATGCTGTTCAGCAGGCAGATCAGCTCATGTGTTTTGTGCTTTGTGTTCCTGAAATAGGACCTGGACCAAGTACAGCTCCATCTAGAAGAAGTAAGGTTCTTCGACGTGTTTGGCTTCAGCGAAACAGCGGGAGCGTGGCAGTGCTTCATGTGCAACAACCCCGAAAAAGCAACAGGTGAGACCCCCACTTGCTGCTAAGAATCACTTGTGACCCTTGGACTTATAGAGAACTGTGACCCCACTGCTCCAGTTGGCCTTCTCTTGCATAAGCATTCCAAGTTGTAATAGTGCAGAGTTGGAGCTGATCTCTGCTCATGCTAAGAAAAGCATCTCACCAAAGTGGCTGTAAGAGAAACCAAAGATGGTGGTGGGGAGAGGAACATAGAACTAGAAATGAGGAAGACAGTCTCTTACCTATATATGTGGATCAAGGAAGAACTATCGGCTTGAAGTGTAGCACAGGGGTAGGGTGCTTGCCTAGTATGCGTGAGGCCTATGTTCCATCCCTAGAACCAAAAGAAGGAAGGAAGGAAGGAAGGAAGGAAGGAAGGAAGGAAGGAAGGAAGGAAGGAAGGAAGGAAGGAAGGGAGGAAGGGAGAAAGGGAGGGAGAGAGGGAGACAGAGGAAGGGAAGGGAAGGGGAAGAAAGGGGAGGGGATGGAAGGGAAAGAAGGAAGATAGATCAACCATTTGATCCTGAAGCCTTCTTCATTCCATCCAAATAACCCTGAGGGTTAAAGGAAAGTGAACACTCTCTCAAGCTGTGTTCCAGAGCCTCAAAGAAGAGAAACTAAATGAGTTGATGAGTACACTAGCCACATTATTTCAGTCACCACTAATGGCACTCCTTGACATCTGAACTATGCAAAAAGTGAAACACACAGAAAAATTTGAAGAATAATTCATGACTTGTTATTAACACTTACCCTTGTTTTCTGCTACCCATGAAGTTTAGTCTACTGAACTTGTCTAAAAATAATAATTGTTAGTGACTATGAACCAAGCCCCATCTTTTGACTCAGATATCTCATCTTATCTAATCAATACTCAAAATAATCTTATAATGTAGGTACTGATATTATTTCTGGTTTGCTGATGGGGACACTGAGGCATAGAGTGGTTGATAAATGCACAAAGTCACCCTGGGTTTGAACCTAATCTGACTGCATAGCCCATGCTGTTCACCATTTTTCCATTTGCTTCCTAGTCACACTTAGCCCAATCTGACCAGTGGAAAGAAGTTGATCAGAATCCTATGTCTAAAAGTTATGTTGTCCTCAAAAATTGAACATTTCAAGACTAACTTGCCCCTGGGAGGAGAAAGGTCTTGTCTTACTCACTTTCCCATGGTGGGGACAAAAATACCCAACACCTCAACTTAAAGGGGGAAAGTTTTATTTTGGCTCACAGTTTCCATCCAAGGTTGGCTGGCTCCAAGGCAGAACCAGGAGGGCAGAGAGACACAGTGGAAGAAAAGGTGCTCAACCCATGGCAGCCAGGAAAGAGCGAGAAAGGGGCGGAGCCAGGACAATACAGCCTTCCAGATCCCCGTCCCCATGACCTCTGCCGGCCAGGCCCCACCTCCTAACAATCCCCTGATGAGCACTGTGTCCTTGTAATTCAATCCCCTCCCAAACCCATAAGGCTTTGGGAGAACATTTTAAATCTAAATTAACAGCTCTTCTGGTAACTCTGCTCAGGAACTGCGGTTTAGACGAAGGGGGCAGTGTTAAAATACTGTCGAACACAAGACCATTTTGTAGAGGAGCCATTCCTTAGGAAGCCATTGAATAGACCACCTGTACACAGTCCTCTAACAGCAGGATTCTGTACATCTCAAGGATTACGCATTATGGCAAGTCTATCTTCCTGTTAATGGCCAAGATGCTGAAGCTGAATCAAAAAATTGTGCTTACCAGGCCATATGGAGATGTGAGGAACTCACACAGAGGTACCAATTAAAATGCATTACTCCATGGAAAAGGTATGGATGGAAGGAGCTGGCAGCTAAAGATGCCAGCCTTTGTGAGGCACAGATTGCTGGTTGTTTACAGAGTCCAAATTGAGCCCATGCCAGAGTGAACACCCTGATTTTTAAAAAGTTAATTCAGGCAAATAAGGAATTGGGGAATTGAATGTCTCCATTATAAAACTTTCTAATTAGACCTTATTTCACATATGAGAAAGACAGGGCATAAAAGAAGTTTTATTTGAGAGCACGGTGAAATAAGGCACCTATCTTGGGTGGCTCTGAGAAGCCCCTTAAGTTTTCACTCCAAGTAAGTTGAGTCCTTAGTTCAATAAATATTTCATTGTATCTGGCTGAGGGAGGCCTTAGAAAAGAGGCTTAAAGTTTAAAACACAAAGTGTGCCTTTAAAATATGTTTTCTCAAATTCACTGCCATGCACTTGAAAAGAACATTCTGCACATTCCCTCTTTCTTATTTGTATTTCTCACAGTTAAATACAGACTGAGAACATATAGCAATAAAAACTCAAGCAAGGCCAAATACTTTATAGCAGAACACATTGAATCAAAATGTTTGGCCCTGAAAACTTCAGTATGTTTGGATTTCTTTGTTCATTTCCTTTTGCTACATGAAAGGGGATTTGAGTCTGAGAGAAATACTGTTCTAAACTGTTATTTTCACCAAAAAACTTTTGAATCCCTGAAGAGTTTGTAAACATTGTTGATTTCATTTTCTTATTTTAAGTAAGCATATTACTGTGTATTCAATCTAAGTGAAAGGTCTAAATAATACTGCTGCAAAATATGTTGTTCATAGATATAGTATTTGTATTCATTTCCTGCTCAAATTCAACTTTAAAGATGATCATGGCACAGGAATAAATAGTTTGTAGTGGTCATGCACAGCCAGCCTATTTGCATCTCATTTTTCATTTATGCAGTATATGGTTATTGCACTGGTTGAATGTCTTGCACAGCTTGGCCCTTGGGATAAAAATGGGACTCAATACTGAGCTACATTTCCAGGCCTTTTAACCTTTACTTAGAGACAGTGTCTCACTAAGTTGCTCAGACAGGACCCAAATCCGCAGCCTTCCTACCATAGACTCCCAGTTGCTGGGATTACAGTCACGCACTACCATGCCCAGCTTGAATTTGGGATACTTTTTAAAAGGACAAATCAACGATACAACAATTGTTCTCACATGGTCAATATTCCAATATTCTTTAAAATTCTGTCCAGCATGTTTTGAGAGGAAAAAATATTGAGCAATTAGACATCAAGAAAGATGTATAAAAATATAAAATACTTCTTACAATGTGGAGACGAAGCCATGAGAGTCCTTCAGAAATTAATGATGTATCAATTTTTATCATCATCTCCATATATTCCCCTCTTCAGATAAAATGCTCATCAACATCTTCCCATGAAGGGGCTGGGGATTTAGCTCAGTGGCAAAGTGCCTGCCTGGCAAGCGCAAGGTCGTGAGTTCGATTCCTGGTACTGGAAGAAAAACAAAAAAACAAAAACAAAAACATCTTCCCATGAATTTCACCATCTAAACCTTGAAATTCACTAGAATTTACTATCTAGTGTTCAATAAATTTTTTTATCCAATTTTTTTGTTTTGTTTTGTTTTTCTCCGGTACCGGGAACCGAACTCACGACCTTGCGCTTGCCAAGCAGGCGCTTTTGCCGCTGAGCTAAATCCCCAGCCCCGATCCAATTTAACGCAGATAAAATCAGAAGAAACTAAATGTTAGAATAGCACAGAGGCCCTAAAATCACTACAATTGCTAACATTTATCATTCTAACTGCTATGTATTTAGCTTTACATGCATTTTCTCATTTTATCACCATAATTAACTCTATTTTACAGATGAACAAACTGAAACACAGAAAGATTAAGTACTTTTTCCTAGGTCACGTAGAGTGGTGGTACAAGGCTGATTCTGGGACCTGATATTTCAACCTCCAGGGAAAATGCAAGCTATGGGACATGCAATATCAAAAAATTCCAAGAAAAAATACTCCATAGCTTTATGATATATGGTAGGCCCAGAGGAAGTTTAATTTTTTAAAGTGATCTACCTCCTTGATGACTTATTCTACAAGAAGAGCAGGAAATTTGATATGGTAACATATAGAAAATTATTACATGTGGGAAATGATTACATAAAAGTTAATTCCTGTGCTTCCAAATCACTGATTCAGCTTTGATACTCACCTTATAAATGTACAGAGTAGAAGATTAGAAAGTCATAGAAATAATTTAGTAACCCTTGGAGACTTGTGTGGTGGTGTTTATTGCACATTCCGTTACTCCACATGAATGAGAGAATAGAGATCAAGCAAGTAGATTTAACAGAATTTAACTTATTTCTGGAAAGTGATGCAAATCATCCTTTATCTTGGAATTGCGTAGTGCATGTTAACAGTAAGAGTTAGTCAGCAGACTGTCCTGCGACACATCTGGCTTTCTATTTATTCAGTCACATTTTTTAAAATGAGGAGGAAGAGCTAGGTCATGACTTTTACTCTTTCTTGACACATGTGGGATGTCTTTGCTCTTACTCCCTACAAGAAATAGTGTAGAGTTTGGCTCTCTTGGCCTCCTCTATAAATCTGAGCCATCTCCCGAGTGATTGCTCTCTGAGTCACTAGACAATTCAGAGTTGGAATGTGATTGTCAGTAGGAGGTTTCTTGGGTTCTAAAAGAAAATGGAAGAAATCTTTTCCAACAGCTTCCTATCATGATTGTGCTATAAAACTGATTTCAAATGATCATGTTATAAGAATGTGGTGTCCATTATATTGCATTGGCAAATAGAGATGGTTTCAAATCTGTATTTAAGAGGTCTCATTTTTAAGGAGATTTTGTTTGGATATAGATACCCTTACTGGGGGCTGGATACCTTTCTGCTCCAGATGCTGATATGAAACTGGGCTAAATGGCCTTTGAAAACCCAACCCTCAGGGCCACAAACACCTTTCTGAGTTCACTAATATTAAACATCTCCATTTACTCTTAATATTAGCTTTCACAGAACTTTAGAAGACCCAATCTCAGCTAATACACCAGCT